CTGTCTCCCCGTGTCCCCCGTGTCCCACCTCAGCCCGCCCCGGGTCCCGCCGCGCCGTCACCGTCGCTGTCGCCATGGCGACCCTGCCCGCCGCGCCGGCCGAGCGCGCCCCCTGGCGGCCGGGAGGTGCCAGCGCTGCGCCCCGCCCGCCGTGACGGCGCTTCCGGGTGCGGACGTGGCGCGCGCCGCCATCTTGCGGGGCCGCCGGAAAGCGGCGAGAGCGGAGAGAGCGCAGGGCCGGAGCGCGGATCCCGCATCCCGCCGCCGCYGCCGCTATGGTAAGGGAAGGGCTCGTCCGCCGCGGGCAGCGGGGGGCTCCGGGCAGTCCCAGGAGCAGTCTCAGGGCCTGCTTCGCCTGGCCGGGCCGCGCGCAGGCCGGCTCTGGAGCCCGCGGCCTGGCGAGACGGAGCGGCGCTGCCGCCTGGGTCGGGCCGGGGCCGTCGCTGGCGGCGGGGACACGGCGCTTTTTCTCCGGTGACTCGGAGTCGCGGTGCCTCCTCAGCACGGCTTTAYGCCTGCTCTGAAGGGCGTGCGGGGTCTCGGGTGTAGCAGGTGGGTGGTGCCCGCATCTCCCCGGTGTGACCCTGWGAGCCCCGTGTCTCAAGGCTGGTCCAGCTTCTTTTGTGCGTCGCAGCGGTGTTTAGGTCAGCATAGACCGGCACACGGCTCTGTCAGAGCTAAATTGTGCCCGAGGGGCGGCAGGGGTCACCGCTGCCGCATTTCAGCGTTTCGGACGCTTTCTGTCAATAACAGCAGTTGCGGATTTAAGAGATCTGARGTGCAGAACAGAGTTATCCTGACAAAGGTAATTAACATCTGTGAAAGAGAAATATAGGGAGGAAATCTGAGGGCACACTGAGAGGAAAAAGTGCAACTGGTGAGTGTCTTGCTGCCCTGTCGATGTGTTAATGCCTGCGACATGCCCGGGAGTCAGCCAAGGGCTGTGAGTGATAACCAGGGCTGCGTTAACCTGGCTGTGCTGTGCATATGGCACTAGAGAGAGAGGTTACATTTCGCGGCGTTCCCGAGKGTAGTTGTCAGCTGGGGTGGCCTGATGGAACAGTCGATAACCTGGAGCCTCCCCTAACGCTCCCAGGASTGTTACACCCCAGTGTGTGTGATATCGAGAATGCTTATTTGCTTGACAAGAGCAGGGAGAGCTCTCAGGATAATTTCGGGACAGAATGTGAAATGGAGAGAAAGCGAAAAGCAGGAATGTCTGTGCTCTTCACATAGTTCATTTCCTGGTTATAGAGAAAGGCTTAAAATCGTGTTTAAGGGAGGGCATGCAGGCGAAGGGCGGAGGAAAGAGATGTTTTCCGTAAGCACGGTCCTGGTGATGTGGTGCCCTCCTGCAGGTGCTGTTGGCAGCCGCCGTGTGCACGAAGGCAGGGAAGGCCATCGTGTCCCGGCAGTTTGTGGAGATGACTCGCACCCGCATCGAGGGGCTGCTGGCGGCGTTCCCAAAGCTGATGAACACGGGGAAGCAGCACACATTTGTGGAGACAGAGAGCGTGCGGTATGTCTACCAGCCCATGGAGAAGCTCTATATGGTGCTAATTACCACGAAAAACAGCAACATCCTGGAAGACCTGGAAACACTCCGACTCTTCTCTAGAGTGGTAAGGATGCATCACTCGGTGACGTGCCTATAAMCCAGAATGGTGCTGTTGTGAGGGATCTGCTTTTGAGCTGGTGCAGGAGCACTGCCTGCCTCCACCTGGTAGCTCCATGTTCAGAGCTTCCCTTCCTGACCAGGCAGAAAGCTGTGAACTTTTGGTGGTAGTTTTGAACTCCACATTAAAAWATCATCAGCCATAGTTGAGCTGGTGAGACCAAAGGGCTGACTGTGATTTAGCGTTAAATATTTGCTGTACAGTGTGTGGCTRTTACAAAACAATAAGTGCTGCTCTGCAGGGATCCTGAAGCAGCAAGTTTGTTTCTTCACACAGCCAAAAGATCTTCAGGAAGTTCACTGGGCCCAACATGCAGTTGGGCTTCATCAGATTAGTGTTATGAGGAAGCTAAGAGGCTCTATAAGAATTTTAGCATAGAAGAACTAACAATAGCAAGACTTCATCTTCTTTATCAATGATGTAACGGTACCAAGAGCGGCATAAACACGTGCTGGACTTGGGAGAGTCTGGCACCGTTATGATCTCTGGGATGGTAGAAAGTGTTTACAAAGTACTGTTTGTGGATACTCTGTTAAACTGTTCTCCCCTTCTAGATCCCTGAATATTGTCGAGCTCTGGAAGAGAATGAGATCTCTGAACACTGCTTCGACCTGATCTTTGCCTTTGATGAAATTGTCGCCCTTGGCTACCGTGAGAATGTAAATCTGGCACAAATTCGGACCTTCACGGAGATGGACTCGCATGAGGAAAAGGTGTTTCGGGCAGTCAGAGAGGTGAGCAGGGACATCTGCAATCCTGACACSAGGTACCCTGTCTGGGAAGCACTACCTTTGCTATACAGAGGTGGTTCTCCACTTTGGTGGGGCCATGCAATTATTTAGCTTTTCTGAGGGCGGAATGCCCGTGTCTTGCTTCTTTTTTCTTGGCAAGGGGTCTGTGGGCAACTGCACTTAGTTCCTGTGCAGGGCAGGGCTGAGATTGCAAAGCCTCCTGTCTTTTCCTTCAGACGCAGGAACGTGAAGCGAAAGCCGAGATGCGCCGTAAAGCGAAGGAGTTGCAGCAGGCCAGGAGGGATGCGGAGAGACACGGCAAGAAGGCACCAGGGTTCGGGGGCTTCGGCAGCTCGGCTGTGTCTGGGGGAACGACGACAACGATGATCACAGAGACCATCATTGAGACCGAGAAGCCCAAAGTGGCACCAGCRCCAGCCAGGTAGGGAGATAGCAGGTGGCAAATGTTGGAGTCAGCATTGACTCAAACCGTGTGCCCAAATAGAGCGTCTAATGTGAGTTCCTCATCTGTGTAAATATCAAGGAGCATTTGTGCCACATACTGTAGTAGAGCCCCATATTCTCTGGATTTGTGGATGAACAATGGCCTTCCGTTCTGTGTGAGATAAAGAGGTCCCAGCTCCTGGTAATACATGGAAGTGTATCCAAATCTAAATTATRACTTGGCATCTACACATAGGATGTTCATTTCCATGCGTGCTCTTCCCCAGAAAGCTGCTGAGTTGAATGCTGTGTTGTTGGGATGGTCAATTTACAGCATATGAGGATAACCAGGATGGGGGAACTGTTGCTGTCAGCTGACTTGAAGATTATTACACTTTTTATTTAGGCCTTCAGGTCCCAGTAAAGCTTTGAAACTCGGCACTAAAGGGAAGGAGGTGGACAACTTTGTGGACAAGCTGAAGTCAGAAGGAGAAAACATCATGACTTCTATAGGCAAGCGCTCTGCGGAAGCAGCCAAAGTTCTTGCTCCTCCCATTAACATGGAGAGGTGAGTACTGCCCTTGCTTTGGAAGCGATCTCCTCACGGCTCTCCCTGCATGCGGCCTTGGGAGAGAGCTTCCCTTCTTCTCTTGGGCTTTTCTTTGTGCTCTCTTACCTTGTAACTATAAAAGTTGGGCAAAATCTGGGAAAGYGTGTCAGTAAAAAAGCAGGTAGCTAGTTTGGTTAGGCATCCTCTTAACTAAAATGGGCTGTCTATCCATTATTGAGCCRAGGTTAGGAATTTTCCTGTGCTTTTTCCCCTGGGCCTTTTCCCTGTTTCCTAGCTTTTACACATAACAGTTCATTTTACACATAAAGGTTCAGAACCTTTTAGTGCTCTAAGCCATGGTGTGGCCYGTCCGAGGGGATTTTGATTGACCAGCATGTCAAGATGCTGCATCACTGCTGTTTAACTGGGCTCCCATCCCTTGCAGACCCATATGCATGGATCTTCCTGCCCCTGAGTTCACCTGTTGGAGCAGCATTAGCCCCCACTGTKCCAGCCGTGCTGTTGTTTGTGAGCCCTTGCTCAGTACACACAGCCTGTGCTTACTGAGCACTGATCTCTGCTGTCTGGGAGATGCCAAGTGTAGGACTTGAGCTTTTTCTCTGTCTGTCTAGTGTTCACATGAAAATAGAGGAGAAAATCTCCTTGACTTGTGGCCGTGACGGAGGGTTGCAGAACATGGAGCTTCATGGCATGATCATGCTGCACATATCTGATGAAAAGTTTGCACGGATTCGCCTGCATGTAGAAAATGAAGACAAGAGGGGCGTGCAGCTACAGGTAAAGCCTGTTCGGAGTCCATGCTGTTGAACATGCTTTTGCTGCTTTCCAGGGAAAAAATACTGGAAATATCCGAGTATGTTGCTGTCCTGTGTTCTCATCCAAGCCTTCTCAGCAACTGCATTGGAAATGGGAGTAGTCAGTGCAGACATTAGCAGAAGTGCAGGGCCAGTCATGCTCAAGGGATTGAAGTTCACTGGAGAAATGTGATCTCAATCGCCATCCTGCCCTTGGAGCCTTATCTGCCCAGCAGTGCCAGGTGACCTCACTTGGACTTTGCAGCAGCCTGGTGTGTTGCTCAGTGCCTGTTCRTGTGACATCAGCTGTAGCTGTGGAATGGAAACGGGCTAACAAACTTCCTATTCCCAATGGGGAATAAATTTATTCTCTGTTTCTTTCTCGGTTGCTTGTCCTGTCACTGCTGTACCTGGGACGATTGCTGGAGCACTTGATTGCAGTCAGCAGTAGCAGCTCAGAAGGTTCTTGGGCGATTTGTCCTTCCCTTTCTTCCTCTTTGTGTGACCCTGTTGATCCCTCGAGGTGGTGCTGCTTTGACACACTGGCTCATTCCTCGCTAGGGGCTTGTCTGTACGTTGTCACTGGCTGCAAGTCCATTTCCTTCCAGTGCATCCCAYGAGCGAGTGTCTAACAGTGCTTCCACAAGCAGTGCTTCAGGTAGAAAATGAGACCAAACCCTCTGCTGCCTCCGTCTTTCATGTGTAACTTGAACAGTGACTTACAAAAATCCTCTGCTTCTAAAAAGCTGCTCACTCTTGAGGTTGTGAAGAGAAGGTTTAAATGGAGCTAGGCCACTGACACAGAAGTTCATTGATGTTGCTGAGGGGAGATTGTAGTGCTATGATGTCAGGCTGTATTTCCCAACAGTGTTTGATTGAKATTTTCTTGAAATATGCAGTGGACATTGAGGATGGTCTTTGACTTGTTGTGTAGATACCAGCCTGCATTGCTAGATGTATAGATTACTAGATTACTCTGGTGCAGAAGCACTTAAGAAGGACAGTGGTGCGGATCCTTCTTGTCGTTTCCTGGCAGGAATCCCAGGTTGATAAGCAGT